AAATATATTTAAAGCAGATACCATCAGTAATGTCTTGATAAATAGAGATAATAATGAATAAGAATTTGAATATTGATATATTTTAATGATTTGTGCTATATGAAGAGTGCAAAAATATTGGTAACTGAATCGATTTATTTAATAATATTTAATAATAATAATATTTAATAATCTAGAAATAAAATCTAGAAATATATTAATAAAAAATATATGATTCATAAGTAAATTTTTTATTTAATTTCAAAAAAAAATTGAATATAAAAGATTAAAGTTATTATTATTATTATAATATTATTACATGTTTTATTATATTTTCTAGAAATATTTTTTAGAAATAGATCCAAATTTGATTTCTAAATTTACGAAATTTGAACTTGAGAGATTTTTTAATACATTGTGAGATTTAAATTTTCTTCTTTTCTTAAAATTTTTTGTTTATCAAGAACTAAAAACTGAATAAAAATTTTTGATTTCTACAATTCTTTAAATTTAATTTCATTCAACATAATCATATATAATGTAATAAATAATTATTACAGTTAATTAACAATAATCATTCGTTTAATTTGTTAAAAATTAAATTTTCAAGTTTTACTTTTTTACTTTTTTTTTATTATAAATTATTATAATTAAGAATATATTAAAATTAATTTTTATTAGTTATTATTAACCTAAATACGAGCTTAATTAAATTATTATTGATTTAATTAAAAAGAAAGTTTCGAATCGCAAAAATAGCAAAAAGTTTCGAGGTTTGAAAATTCGAAACTTGTTGAGTCTTGAAGAGTTTCGAGGTTTCAGAGTTTCGATTATCTTATTCTTAATATTTTTATTCCGTCTATTGTTTCGATAATTCTGATAAAAGATCTTCGTTCAGTTCAGGACACTCGATTAACATCACAATCTAGACAGCTATATAATATATAAAGCGTCCTACAAAATTAGAATCTTTGGAGATAAAAAATGATTGGATATAAAAAAAATATTGTATATCAAAATTAAATAATATTCAACGAAGCATAATAGTTTAAAGTATTTTAGAAATCAAGATTTTTATTTTAGATAGAATAAAAATTTTATAAAAAGAAGAAAATTTAAACCTCAAAATATATCGAATTCGAATTTCATGAAATCGAATTTCCAGAAATCAAATTTCGATCTATTTTTAAAAAATATTTCTAGAAAATATAATAAGACATAGATATAATTTTATGTATATATAATAATATAGTAATACAGTAATATAATTATATTATATGATATTATATGGTAATTATTATATAATATAATTTTATACATTGATGTATATATTTATATATATTTTCTTGTTAGAAGATATCCAATAACGGATTCCATTAGAAACATAAAAAATTATAAAAAGAAATAAGAAACATGTTAAGTAATGTTAAAATAGAATAATAATAGGTAATGTTAGAATAGTATAGTATTTAATATTATTTAAATTATAATAGCAGATTGTTCGAATATTTGTTATAGGATAAGCAATAATATCTGCAGGATCTCAAATAATTTAACAATTTTTTAACTGTAATATATTTTTTCATAAATATTAAAAGATTGCATCGATTGGTCCTCAATCAAAATTATATGATTTTACTTAAAAAAAAGTGCAATTGTATTTTCCAAACGAATTAACATAAAATTATTTCTAGTTATATCCAGATTAAATTTCATTGAATATTATTTAATTTTGATTTATTATATTTTGAAAGCTCTCTATATATAATTTAGTAGAACTCCCATTCTAGAATTATCTATAATAGAAAGAGTGTAATTCGCGTAACCGTGGCCGTATCGAAATGTTTTTGTGAATGAAGGAAAAAGATTCGCGGTTTTGTCGATTATACAGTGAAATATTATTTATTTGATCTGAGAGAGTGATTCAAGTCACGCATCAAGAGTGTTTAGGTAATAGTCACTTGGCAACGTGATCGATTTGTAAGATTAAAGTTATGCCTTGTCTTATCGATCGATCATTTTGTGACGGTACGATGCGATGGCGAAATGCCGGAACACTAGATAAATTAGCGCGACAAAGATGATAATAGCAATTTCGAATGGTTTTAAGAGTGTGAAGTATTCGATAGATTAGATCACTATTGGTTTCTTCTCTCTCTTATTGGTGGCGAAGAAGGAATTATTGAGGAGAAATAAAAATGGAACGATCGGTTTTTTGGTCCATTGTATCAATTGAACATAACGGCAAGGGAAAATTGAGAATAATGTTGTTTCATAATACGTGTGTTCGTTCAATTATTTTATAATCGAATTACCGGGGAAGAACGAGCTGTTCATTTAGACTTGTTACCAAAGTGCTATAAATCGAATTAACGATCCTCTTGTTTCTCTTTCACTCTTGAAATTTTAGTTTTAATCGATTGGGATCGATTATTGTGATATAATTTCATTTAATATATTATAAAATATTAGAGACCATATATTATAATTTATATTATATATAAATATATATTTAAAATTTATACATATGAAATTATATATATATATATTATGTATATATAATGTATTAATTAATTTTTTATATATATTATTTATTATATATTTTATTTATATTATTTTTTATTCATAATTTTATTTATAATTATTTTTATTTATTATTTTTTTATTAATATTTATTGTAATATATTATATTTTTTTTATATTGTTTAGAATTTAATATTTTTAATATTGTTTAATATTACTATTAAATATATAAAAATATTGTGATTATAATCCTATCAAATATATATTACAAATTATATAATATGTATATCAAATATGTATATATATATTATATATCATAATAAACATATTATAAATATTCTAAATAACATTCTAAATAAAAATACAAATATATGTATAAAAATTATCAATTTTGATTAATTTCATTCCAATAACAGAAGTAATAAGATTATATTCCATGAATTAAATCGAAATTTTTGAACTATGAAAATGTCGGTCTTAACCTGCAAAACTGTTTTTCTTTGTTCGTCCATTGAAGATGACTAAAAGTTCTATGAATAATGTGTTTCTCCTGAAGATTGACGCATGAATATTTTTGGTATATTTTACTCGAGAGAAGTTTTCAAAATTCGGGATTGTACTTTAGAGGATTACTTTTCCAATGCGATTATATCTTTGATAAAAAATGTGGGAAACAAAAAGATATAAAATATTATTACAATACTTCTTTCTATTTCATAAAAATTTTATTTTTATTTTTATTTGAAGTTAAATTTATTAAAACATATATATATTATTATATTTAATGTTTCATATTATTATATTATATATTTATTATATAATATATTTTATATTAAAATTATTATATTTAATTTTTATTATGAAAAATTAACGTTTGGAATATCTATAATAGTTAACAATATATCTAATAATATAATCTATACTTAAGAAATTAATAGAATGTTAGTTTGATAAATAGGATTTAAATAAACATCATTATTTATAATATTAAACAATAAAATTAAATTAAAATTAAAAAATTAAATAAAGTTAAATCTTTTTGCTCTTTTAAGATATGTTTATTAATATTGCAACAATCTAATTTTTTTTTTAATTTTTCTAAATTTTTTAAAAAAAAACTTAAAAATTTTTATGATTTAAAATTTAATATTAAATAATAACTTAATTGATAATTTTGTGATTAAATTTAATTTTTGTTTCCATTTATAACAATTAATATAAATGAAATTTCTCATTTAAGGAATCGTTGAATGCAATTAATATTATAACGAGAATGAAACTTCTAATTAAATAACGATATCTATAGAAATAATTGATAAGAACTTTGTCTCATAATTACTAGCTAGACATAATATTCCAATAGCTAATTATTTAATTATTTAAATGATAGAAAATTTTGATAAAATCGTGCAGTTGCGCTTTAGAGTAATAATTTCATTCTTGAGAGACGAATATTTATTAATGATTCAACAATGTTATTATAATAAAAAATGAAACAAAATTTGTTTAATAATATAATATTTGAACAATATTAAAAAATTGTTATATTGTTAATATTATCACGGAGAAAAATTGTTTAATTATTAATTATTATTACTAATATAAATTAAATTATTGATGCAATTATTAAATTTTTCTCACTTGTTTTCCATAATTAAATAATTAAATATACTTATTTTTTGTAAAAGTAATTTTAATTCAACTGAATCATAATTTAATTAAGATTTTAATTCAAAAAAGATATTTATATTTATATTTTTTTTATTATAAAATAGAAAATTACAGATTTTTATAAATTTATAAATCATTAGAAATTAATTTGCTTAATTTTTGATCAAAAAAATAATTTTATTTTCTCACTTTAATTCATTATCAAAAATTCTTGTATTATATTTTTTACTATTGGAAAATATTAACAATAAATAAATACATTTTTCATGCATTTCTCATCATAATGAATTAAAATAATTTTAATGATATATAATTTTTTTTCTTTAGATTAAAAATATGAAAATCTATTTGAAAATAAAACTATCACGAATTTTTTAAAAAGTATCCTCTAAAGTACAATTAAGTATATTATATTTATCGTGAATTGATGAGAAGAATGACTATCAAAAGTATCATTCAAATGACTGAGAGAATATCTAGAATTTTTTAGATAGCTTTCAAATAGAAATTAATGTAACTAATAATAATGATTATCGAATAGTTAGTTTTCTTAATTCGAAACAATTTCATATTTTGAAAATTATAGTTAATTAAATTGACGAAGAAATGAATATAAATAGCTTGAAATTACAGAGAGACAACAATCAAAGAAATAGCAAGAAATAGATATAAATAGATAGAAAATCTATTTCTAATAAATATGATTCTGAAAATTCTATTTGAAAGTAAATCTCAGATATAAACTTTTTTCAACTAATATACTTAACAGTTAACTTAATCTAATATTGAAACACAGCAAAACCATTTTCCTTAACATATAGCATCACGTGGTTCGAAAGAGTGAGCATGATGGTAATTCTTTTAAACTGCATTACATTGGGGATGTACCAGCCATGTGTCGACGACCAGTGTGTTACAAATCGTTGTAAAATATTACAAGTACGTATATTACAAGCATATATTTATTTATTTCTATATATTAATTTTAATTATAATTATATATAATATATTAAATATTTAGCGATCAAAACAAATGTTAAATAAAATATTAATTGAGACCTATTTATTAAATTATAAATAATTTAACTTTGTATTAGAATGAGACAGAATGCGACAATAATGAAACTGAGACAGACTGATTTCAATATGCGTTTCGTTTCGTTTAATGCATATAATAAATTAATAAAGAAGCTTCAATTGATTTTTATATACCAACTTTTGTTTTGATCTTTAAAATTGTTCAAAAATATCTTATAAATATATTAACATGTATACAGAACATTTCATTTCATTTTGAAAGATAAGAAATATACAAAGTATATTTGCGTGTTCATGTTTTTCTTATCTTTTATCATACAATAAGTTTTACAAAATTTAAAAATAGTTAAACCAATAATTTTTAACCATATATGAGTTAATATTTTTTTTATAATGAATATCGAATTATATTGAATTATTGAATCATTGTATTAAAAAATATTTAATTCCATTTAAAAAAAAAACAAAGTTGTTGCAACTTTGTATATTAAAAAGAATTAATAAAAATACCATAATATGCATTTCTTTATATCATTTAATTTTCATCTGAAATATTTTTCGTTATAAATAATAATATTAACAATCAATGTATCAAAATCAAATGAGATACTCTGTATATTTACTGTTTTTCAAACTATTCATAATATGTTCGAATTTATTTTGTTTAAATTCAAGTCTACTCGAAAATTCTCGAGCCTAGTAGATCAACATTAAACCTGTATGAGATATGGTGAATCATCAATGAAGAATTTTATGAAAAATTGGTCAGGATTTATGGAAATGATACTATGTTGAAACCACGTGTTTTTCACGGCAGAATAGTTTCGAGAGGAATGTCAATCTGTCGAAAATGTTGGCTCTTCCATAATTCGGCTTGCCATTTCTCTGAAAGAATTTTTAAATTTAAAATCGATCACAATGCTCTACCGTATCTATATTCGCATAATTTTTCACTTTATAAATCTCTCTTTTTTTTTTATTTCCTCGAATAAAAGGAGCTATGGAAGGAATGCACATTCAATAAGTTTTTTAAAATTTGAACTATACAATAGATGTTATATGATAGATAATAAAAAGTAAAGTAGTAGAAATATTGCGAATAATGGATTTATCGTTGTAATACAGTCAAATTTTTTATAGATTTTTCATGAATTCAATTAATAAGTTATGTTATCAAAATGTTTATAATAATAATAACTATAATATAATAATAATTTAATTCGATTTTATGGAACATTGTGAATATGTAAATCATAATTATATATGGAACAATTTTTTTATTAATAAAATTTTATTTCATGATGAATCAATTTTTAAACTTTTAATATTTCGTTTTTATAATTTTATATGAGATAGAACAAAATTTTAAATTATAAAATATTATGATTTTAATGTTCTATTATTCTATTATATAAAATATTTCTATAAAATATCAAAAAATATATTGCTCTATACTCATTATATTTTATATACTTATATACTTTATATATACATAAATTTTTATTAAAATCAGATTTTTCAAAATAAGTGAATTTCCTTGTAAGATATATTTTACTTTCTATCTTTATTATCATTGCTTATTGTTTTATTTGTTTTCTTGAATATATTTTTTTAATTTAATTAATTATAAATTTATTAATATTCTAATATTAATATTTACAAAATAAGTACAATGAGCAAATAAAGTATTCAGTTATTGCTGTAAACAAAAATTAAATCATTATTAAATTAAATTCTAATAACATTGAAAAATATATAAAATGAATGAAAATATTTTCAAAGTCATTCACAATAATAAATTTATTGATCAGATTTTAACAATTTAAATATAATTATTAGATATTACACCACAATAAAATTTTTTTGTATCTTTTTTTACCCTATTTATATCCTATATTTACAATTGTACAATTTTTAAAATAAAATTTTTATTCAAATTATTTTCATATTTGAAGTCATATTGTTACATTTCATTGTTACAGCAATTTGTAAAATATTTATTATATTTTATTCTTTTTTATTACTATACATATTTATTGTTAATTACGAATGTATTGAAATAAAAATGAATGTGAAACGCAATAGATAAGTCTTGGCTTTTATATACTCATTTTCATTTTTCATGATATTTGAATTTAACGAAGAAAAAAAACTCAATTACAATCCCGTGCGTCACGATTTATAGGTTTCTGCGTTTTAAATTGCGAATCATGATATTTTCTTCCTTTTTCATTGTTTTTATGTCATCACGCACGGCCGAGTGCATTGAATAATTCTAATTAGTGATACGACTTAATTACTAACCCATGTAAAATATACATATATATATAATTTGCCAAGTTATTATTAATCTGTTTTTCGCTTTAGATTTGGTTTGATATCTGTGTATTTTCTATTGTTATTATTTTTTACATATTTATATGTGATGTTAATGAAAGTTTTGTATATCTTATTCATAAAAAAATGTTTTCTTGTTTTTTATATAAATATAGATGATATTCATATTGTTTCGATTTTGTTATTGATATTTGTAATATGTATTTGTTTTGAGAATTAGTAATTATTTCAGAAAGCATATGAAATAAAGAATATTTAGAAATATTTTATTTATGAAATATTTTATTTTCGAATAATTGATATTTTACACAATCTTTTTTTGCATATTTAATAGTATTAGTTTTTTTTTAAATATTTTTTTATTATATAGAAATTTTTAAAAATATGAAAATTTATACTTACTGAATAAATGTTAAATACTGAAAGAAAAATATTAAACAAATATTTAATATAAATTAATAATTTGTTAAAAAATTTTCAAAGATAGAATTGCATCGTATTAAGATAAATTTAAAAAAATTTAAATTTTTTGTCTTCACTTTTATTTAAAAGTATAAAAGAAGAGAAAAACGAAAAAAGTTTCAGCTTTACGAGAGAGAGAGAGAGAGAGAGAGAGAGAGAGAGAGAGAGAGAGAGAGAGAGAGAGAAGAAAAGAGGCAAAAGAAAAAGGAAGAAAAAAGAGAATCGGAAGAAAGTTTTCTCTTTTCCTTTCAAAGCTCCATAAAAAAATATATAGATACCAGTTGTGGCGTCAGGATTGATTAATTTTGATTGCATTGTTTGTCCTGCTTTTCACGTTCGGTTTTACACGTCGAGCAGAAAGGGGTGGCAAACACGATTGAGCTGCAGTTGGTAGTTCGACAGTTAATGAAGGACGCTGTTCCAGTGTCCTTGATCAATTACGTCTGTATGATCAGGTTAAACGTTCCCATCTAATTGGTCTCCTTGCTCCGGCTTACAGATGTTCGATGACATCATTTTCGCTTTTTTCTCCCTGGAGATGACAATCAAAATGGTCGCGATGGGCATTTACGGAAAAGGGACATATCTCGCGGATTCCTGGAATAGATTGGACTTCTTTATAGTGATTGCTGGGTAAGTGCTTGTTAATTATCTCTTATTTAGGAATTTGTCACGTATATATATATTTTGCAATGTATATAAAGTTATTGATGAAAGTTAAGAAACAAAATTAATCGTTAGCAAATTTCTTTATATATATATTCTTTTAATTTGATCTTTATACAAATATATTCGAAAAAAAGATTATATATATTGATATGGACTGTTATATCCTATTATTTTTAATTCTAATTTATGTTAATAATATGTTAGAAATATAAATTTACTTATTTATTTATTAAAAATGATTAGTTTTATTAGTAAATGTATATAAATTTTTTTAACGTTTTCAATGAATTTTTGAGACTTTATTAGATATTGTGCAATAAATAGAATTCTTGTTAAAATTTGTTTATATTATATAGAATAAGTTATTTAACTCTGAACTTACTTGTAAATTATTTATAAACATATAAACATTTGTATTGTAAAACATAAAAATATGTTTCAAAGAAAAGTTTTTTTTGATATTAAAGATGGTGTGCAATAATTAGTTTTTTTTATATTTCGCTTTTTGGAAGAATGAATAAAGGAATGAAGTTTATTTTATTTTTTGAATATAATCTATAATATGAATATATGATTCTAAATGCTAAAAAATTTAATTATATTAATTATATTATATTATATTAATTATATTTATTATATATATTATATATTAATTATATTATATTAATTATATTAATAATTATAAAAATTTAAATAATTTTCTAAATATTAAAAAAATTTTTGTTTGAAACATTTTTTTATACAATAAATAGTTTAAGAATAAATTTAGTTAGCATAGTGAAATGACTCATTTTTTATTACATTATTCAATTGATGTTGATCGATTCTATTAATTAAACGAAATTTGAATGTAAAATTTGCAACTGTTAATTATAAAATTTGCGATTATTAATTTCATTATAAGGCTTGCATTTCTTTCAATATTAGGTGAATATTAGTCTAAAAAAAAATTACATAATTAAATAAATAATAAAAAATAATGCTAATAAACAGAGTTGTTTTCTATATATTATATTTTATATAAGAAATAATATATGTATAAGAAAGTTATAATTATTTAAATTGATTTTAATAATTAATTTAATATATAATTTAATAAATTAATATAATATATAATTTAATACTATTACGATTATGGATGGATATAAATATTTAAAGAAAAAATATGAAATATTTAAATATTATTTTTATGAATGTTATTTTTAATTCAATATATATTTTTCATGAGTTTTTCTTTTTATGGATAACATTCAATTCATAATTATAAATTTTTAATAATTAAAATATTTTTAAAATTAAAATGTTATAGGTTGTTAATAATAATATAGGATAAAATTTTTGAGTAAATATAAATTATTATCCAAAAAAAAATAGGAATATTGTTTTTATATTTATCATTGTAAAATATGAAATAATAATTCACAACTACGAGTTTTTATTGAATTTTTATGAATAGATATTTTCGTTTGAAAACCTATAATAAAATAGAATTTTTAAATAAAATTATTATCTAAACCAAAAAAAAAATATTAATCATTACTTTTATTATTCTTATTACTCTTAAATTTTATTATGAAAATTGATAATATGTGTTCATAATATGATAATAAATGGAATCGTCTATTAATGCTATGTGTCTGAATAAATAGAATCTTATTCTACTTAATTGAACTTGTCGAAGACAAACATGATATGAACTTTATATAATAGGAAGTCGATTCTTCCTATTACATATGATTTCTTGTTTCAATAATAAGAGTTCACATTTAAATAAATGAATTCAATTGGATATAAACTAAAATTATATTAAAAATTTTAAACAATAAATATAACTTCATCCAAATTTTATAAACAAAACATTTCTTCATTAGAATATAAAAATTTAACATTCCTAAATTCTATTTTACAATAATTGATTTACTTAATATTATTGATTTATCAGGAATAATATGATATTCAATTTATTCTTTCATATACAAAATAACAAATTGAGAGATAGTAAATGCAATTCAAATAGAAGATTTTATTTTAGCTTTTTCAAATTTAAAATTTTTTAAAAGTAAGGAAAAATTGTTTCTATCGATAATATAAATATGATAAAAATATATTTTTTTAAAATGAAATATTAATAAAATAATATTAATAAAAAAATATAACGTAAAATTTTAGATTTATTTTTCGGGAAAAAATGTATTTATTATTTAATTATTCAATAATTAGAATAAGGATTGTTATATAAATAACTAAAAATATTCAACATGTAAAAATTATATTATATTTATTCAAAATATTAAACAATATAGTATTTATAAAATATAATAATTTTATTATGTAAATTTATTTATATAAAATTTATATTATAATAAATTTAATTAAATATAAAAATTAATTTTTTTTAATTTTTTAATAAATTATTATTGTGTATGCAATTAAATTTGTTTACAATATTCAATTATCATATAAATTAATCAATATCATATAAACTAAAATCAAAAAAATATATTTATATTTATTATTTTTAATATATATATATATTTTTATTTTTCAAATAAATATATATATATATATTCAAATATATTCATTTATATAGAATTTATATACACGTATACATATTTGTATAAAAATTTACATATTATTAAAAACTAATTAAAGTACTGTTTTGTATGTATATATTCATAATTGAGCGTGAAAAGGTTTTTTTATTGACAATAGATATTTTAAAAAATAAGTGAATAAAAAAAACAAAAAAGAATAAAACTTGTTTTAAATGCTCGATCGTAAGATAAATGGGATATGCTCATTTTTAATTAATTTTTATTTTGATGCGAAATTTTTGTTTAATTTCACGATTGCATTAAGCAACATGAAGGAAACGGAAATATTTAGTGATAAGTTCCCTATGAAATAAAGTTTCACAGAGATTGAACTATATTATGCGAATAAAGTTAATCGTATGAATTCCATGAGAGTTCTTAGAAACTCGTGAAATTGATAAAGCTCTATATACTTATTCGACGTAAATGTGTTTATGAATTGTAGTATTTTTCCTTTCGCATTTCGTAATGAAAAAATAAAACAAAAAATATATATTTCATTTCTTCATCGATTAAACTTATTTTTGATAAACATATTTCCATAAATAATTTGCAATTATTTTGTAAAAGTGAAAATAGAAAAAATTGTAAATGTATATTTATATATGTCTTCTATATTTATTTAAATATAGGATTTATACATTTATAGTACAAGATACATTTATTTAAATAGTCAGGATATGATTTTATATGAAAACAGATTTGTAAATAATTTTTTCTTATTTTCATCAAATATAAATATACGAATTTGACTTTTCAGTTAGATTAAATAGATTATTAGTAAAAGATTATTTTATAAATGAAAAATAAAGAATAAAATAAAAAATAAAGTAAAAAATAAAAAATAAAAAAATAAAAAAAATAATAAAATTTTTTAAATTTTTTAAATTACTATTTAAATCTTTGTTTTTTAATAAAATTGAAATATATTGAAATTTGGTCAAATATTTGTATACTTATTGAATTTTCAAAATTTATTTTTTCGAAGATTTATTTTTAAATAAAACAATTTTACTTTATATTTTTCGTTTATTTTTATACGTAAAATAATTTTTTTTATTAATAATTCATTTGTATCCAATCGAGAATTAGTCAAATTTATACTACAAATTTGCAAACTCGATTTTCTCAAAAACGAAGCTTCAAACGAAAAAAAATGTTATTATTTTTTTTATGATTTACTTTCACATGTAGAATTATTTTCGGTTTTATTATCTATTTGCTCTTATTCTGTATATTTACAATATACAATATAAGATATAATTTATATGATATAAATTTGTTCTATATATTCATACTATTATGTACTTAAATGTGTAATAATATTACACATTTTTTGACTAATAAATTGAATAATAAATACATGTCTTAAAAAATTAGAAAAATTATATAATTTCAAATATTTGAATTGTAAAAAATTAATTATAATTATTTTATTGAATTATTAGTATATTTAAAAATTTATTAATATTATCCTATACAAAGTCTTGTTATATATATATATATATATATATATATTAATAATATTTATGTTGTTTATTCAAGTTCAAATGATAAAAATATGTACATATGTACCATGTGCTTGAAATAATTTTATTATATTAACTTTTGAATAATTAATGCATCAAGTAAATTATTTTTCAAATTATTTTTCAATAAAAAAATTATAATTTCATTATTTAATATATTTACGTTTATATTTATATGATTTATGTTAGAATTTTTATTTTGAAAATTAATATATTTCAAGTGAAAAATATTAAAGGATATGTAGTTTGAAATATACGGTTTATCGTTGGTTCATTGGAGTTTTAACCTTTTCTCTGTTACTAAAATAGAATACAGACTTGAATCCGATTAATTTTTTTATATTCTTTTTATCTGAAGTAACTAAAAATAAATTTATGTAAGAAAATTCAATACATTTTATTGAACATATTTATTACATATATAAAATATTTAATACAAAAATTTTACAAAATTAAATATATTATATCAAATAGCAAATATTTTTGTGTTATTATTATTTAATACATAGAATGTCTTATTTTAATTGATTATAAAAATAATTTATAAAATATCAATAAGAAATCTACAAAAAATCTTAAATAAATTAAAGTACTCCAACATTGATGGAGAAATATATCCACATATATTTGAGTTTTTCTTATAAATGATTGAAACATAAAAGATTGAAAATTATAAAATTATTAAAATATTAAAATTGTTCAATGATATCTTGATATATTATTACGTGACGTAATAAATTGAATTAAATTAAATTAACAAAGAGAATATTGAATTAAGAGAATAAAAAATATAACTAAAAATCAAATTGTTTTTCTAATAAAACATTTAACCAGAAATAGAATTATTTAAAAAAAATCTTATTATGTACGGTATTGTTATACGGTATAGATATACGGTTTACATGGTTCAAGAATGTAAGCGATTTATAAAACATATGTATCGAGTTTGGACAAAATTTTCTGAAGTTATTAAAAATATAATTTATATTTAAAATAAATTCTTCTATATGAAATTGCATGAATACTGTATTGATAAAAATTTATGAATATTTATTTTTTATTAATATAAATTTATGAATATAAAATTTAATATATTTTAAATACGAATGTTGTTAAGATTACAGAAAATTTTGAGATTTTAAAAATTGAGATTTAAAAAGTTTTGAGATTTTAACATTAACATTTAACAGTACTGAATTGGAATATATGTTTATATAATTAATTAAAATGATAATATAATTTAATTAAAATAATCTATATCTTTTTAATAGTAAAAATAAAAAAATCTTAAAAATTTTTTTTAAATTCGACAATTGTAATATTAGAAAATTGAAATTTATTAGAGTTCGATAATTGTAATATTAGAAAAATAAAATTTATTAGAGTTTGAATAATTTAATGAATTATTGTCTTTTTATCTACATTCATTTTGCATTTTTCAGTTAGATTTATATATATTGTGCTTTACAAAGTCTCTGAAAGATGTATCATTTTATCTTTATTATTTTCGAATACAAAATTAAGCTTAAGCTTTGCTAATTTTTGAAAGTTCACATGGGATGGTCTCAATTTTTTATCGTGGTATTCTAAGCATAATATCCACAGGTGCAATTATGATCATATTTAAGCATAACATGCATTCTAACTTTATTTATTTATCTCTTGGGACACAACTGTATCAGACATTCAAATTGTTTTATTTGTTCCTTATTGAATCTTAAATATCTTGATACATGTTTTTATTTGTTATGGTAAAATACACACATTTCATTAGAAAACTTAATCATTAGAATTCTAAATGAAATAATTTGAGTTTTTGAATACATGATTGTAATTTTTTTTTTATAAATTTTTTTTCTGTTAAACTATTTATTTTTTCTATTTTTAATTTTAATATTGGGAATACAAAATGTAAATTTTAGAAAAATCCAATCTCATTTAAATCTTAATATAAACATTTTTTGAAACTTTAAGAAATTAAAAAAATATTTTTACTTTTCAAAAAATAAAAAGAAAAATAAAAATGAAAAGATATAAAGGAAGAAAATTTATTTAAAAATCATATATTACCATATTTTATTATAATTATATGCTTATAAAGTGAATTTTTAAATTTGATTTTCTCGAAAATTAATTGTAAAAAATTGTTTCTATCTTTTTCTTATTTTTTCATAATTAATAACCATTTTATAATAATATTAAATATTATTATTTCTTTATAATCTAAAATTATAAGAATAAACAGTAAAAATAATAGTTTATTTTTATTGGATAAAAAATATAAGAATATGTGTATAATATAATAAACAAATGTAATATATATAATGTGTAATGTATAAATATTATGTATTTTTTTTGCTCTTCTTTTTGTTAAATACATACTCTTTTGCGGTTTACTCATTAACTACTGGAATTTAATACTATTATAAACAAAAACCTGCCATTAATGGAATACATTTTAAATGTTTTGATGATCCTTTAAATTTATTCAAATCATTTTATTATAAGTGTGTTAATATTTATAAACGTATATTAAAATATTTTATAGAACACAATAAATATTTACCATAATAAAACATGTTCGACCAGAAAATAAAAAAATATTATATTCAATTTTATTTCAGTGCCCTGGAATATTGTTTGAACGTGGAAAACATGAATTTATCGGCAATAAGAACAATAAGAGTTCTTAGACCTCTACGTGCCATCAACAGAATTCCAAGTAAGTATAAAAACTTAATGTCTAAAATTGCTGACTTTTTTACTTTTATGAGAAATATTTTCGTGATATATACGAATTGTGTGTTAAAATAAATTAATATTAACGAAATTTATTTGTTTCGATTTTAAAATAAAATTTTGATCGAACAAAATATCGAATAAATTTGTTTTTATATAAGAAAAAAAGAATATTTGTCGTTATATCAATTATATACAGAATGAATTGAATTTGAAATAAAGAGGGGATGGCTCCTCGTTCAAAAACTCGTAAAAAAAATAAATAAAATTTCATTATATTAGAATTTTTATTTGTAAAAAAATTGATTTTTTTTGAAAACGTGTATTTGAATAAAAATTGTTCTAATTTATATTGCCAAGTTTTTTTCTTCTTGTTTATAGAGAGTTAAAGATTTATTTATAACATCATTAACACATTATAACACATTTATAACATTTATTTATAACATAATTTAAATCTTAAGAAAAAAATGAGAAATTTTTGTGTATACATTTCTTTCTAATTTTCATTTTTTTTTTCTTTTATTTTTTTAATGATTCTTAATATAATTTACAAAATTTAAATAATTTGTAGATGTTTGAATTATTAATTATTAATAATAATAAATTTAAGAAAAAAACAAATGATATATATATATATATATATACAAATAGATATATATACATACAAATAAATATATTTAAATTAATTTTTTAATAATATTGTTGGATCATAGATAATCAAAGTAGTTTAAATAAGATTGAATAAATTTTGATTTTTAATTTTAAAATACTAATTCATATATATTGTATTAGATTCAAAAAATTAATTGAAAACTGAATATAAATAGTATGAAATTTATAATAGATTTTTAATTTTTAATAAAATAATAATATAAAATTCTTTTGTTCAAAATTGATATTGAATGCAATATATATAAAAGATAATTTTTAAATAAAATTTTCAATATTTTATTAAATTTAAATTTTTTTTAAATTTTACTTTTGATTTTAATATATATTTTTTACATCTGGTTTCGATTATCTTAGAACAAATTTATTAAATAAAGATTATTTTAATACATATATATATAACTTATTATGTTATTATTATTACAATAAAAATTGAAAAATCGAAAAAACATTATTTATATTATGAATGATATATTATTGATAAAAAATTGAAAAAAATTTGCATTATGTATTATGCTTTTATTAAATATGTAATTGATATTTTAAATAATTTTTGTTTTTTATATTTGATCTTGAATTTATATAAAATATTTGTTTTCGTTAAACAAGTTAAATAAATTATTTATACATTTAAAAATTATTACATATAATATGATAAATATTGAAAATTGTATAATAAATATACATAATCTAAATTATATTATGATTATTAAAATTTTAATTTATTTAAAAAAATGTATATATCATTTATATATGTATATTTTTAGAATCATCAATATAGATAATAACTATATTATATTATGAGTCAAAAAATATTAAAAATAAAAATAATTAATATAATATGGAAGAAAAATAAAATGCGAGAAATATTCATAATATGTAAGTAATATATATATATGCAATAATATATATGCAATATGCAAAAAAAATATATTTTTTTGAAATTGTCAAATAACAAATTTCTATTTTGTTCCATCTTTTTATATATTTTCCACAATGTATACATATTTGCATAAACATCCATATTCTACTTATTATTTTTTACAATTTTACAAACTTTATAAACTTATTATTCGACATTCGCAGAAAAATATTTATCATGAAAATACAACTCTTATGACTCAACCGGATTTCAAATGGTATTTTCCACGGTTGCAGTTGCGATTTTTTTAAAATCCCATAGAAGATAGATTAATTCGTGACAATTATATTCGATATATAATTCAATAGATTTAGTATGAATAAACTTGAAACAAGATTTATTTCCGAACTATTTACATGAACAAATAACGAATGGATCAATTTAGAATCGCAATACATCTTCTCGCAATTTCTTATTTTTACATTTTCGAGCTTTATTTTTTGCGGATAACATTCTCTATCGACGCAAATAGAAAAATCCTTTATTTATTCAGTTCCTATTGAAATCTAATGACGTTATTACAGCGCAAAAAAAAAAAAAAAAATTTCAATGTCACAGTTTTTGCCATATTTTTTATTACTTTTTTCCTCCGTTTCTTTACTTTCAATAGGTATGAGGATATTGGTGATGCTTTTACTCGACACTCTTCCTATGCTGGGCAACGTGCTGCTCCTATGTTTCTTCGTCTTCTTTATATTTGGTATTGTCGGCGTGCAACTGTGGGAGGGCATCTTGCGTCAACGGTGCTTCCTGAAGGCTTTACCCAACGTCAAATATCCCGAGTAAGTGTCACACGAATCGATTCGTTCTCTGTCATGATGTTCATTTATTGGTTCTTTAACTATATGGTTATATTTTTTAAGACGATCAGAATTCGTCTGGTTCGTTTATTATTACGCTTTATCTCGCATTGATTCTACATTCTCTCTCTCTCTCTCTCTCTCTCTCTCTCTCTCTCTCTCTCTCTCTCTCTCTCATTTCTATCATATTCTCTCTCTGCCTTTTATCTTTGCTTTACTTCTTCTCGTCCCTCGTCTCTCTTTTTTGATCCGCTTTTTTCTCCTTCCTCTTCCCCTATGTAATCGTTGAGAGTCAACGTTAACACGCGCGTATATACTAGGCTGCATTGCGTTTCTGAGATAAACGACGGCCGTACTCTATTTCCAGAAGATGGTGCAATACACGGACACGCGACTGGATAAGTATTAATTCACCCATCGAGCGCGCACACACGCATATCGAATTGCTCCTCGTTTTACGCTTTACTACTTTTCTATCTTTCTCTTTTTCCTTTTATATTTTCTTCATTTTACGTACGATTTTCTGCCTTTTACAAATTTTTCCAATTTTCGAGTTTTTGAACTTGAAATTTTTATAGATTTTACAGTCGTTTCGGGAGTATTTTCATTTTTCTTTTATTTTTTGGTATGGATATATAGAGATGGGAAACTTGAAATTTTAAATTTAGAAATATTTATATTTTTCGAAACTTTTGACAGTTAGTCAAACAGTTAGAAATAATAATTTCGTATAAATAATTTTAGAAAATATCGTGACGATATGAATTTATTTTTATTCCACTTATAATAATTGAGCTTGTGTCAGAGAGTGACTTATTTTAATTGATACACTTTCATCAATCAATTATAATAGTTTATATCTATATAATAGTCTTATTATTGTTGCTTACTATAATTCTTATTGGAAAATTCCAAGAATCAAAATTTTTTACTTTTTTTTACTTTTATTATAAAGAATAAATAAAATAAGTAGAGAAAATACATACATAAGCTTCGAGAATTTCAAGATATTGCGTAGTTTCGAATTCGAATATTTAAAAATCAAAAAGTTTCGATCCATCTCTTATATATCTTTTTAATTCGAAATTAAACTTATTTTCTTAATACCATGATAATATCAAATTTGATTTGGAGACGAGATACATATAAGTACTTTGCGAATATTATTCTTCGACCTTGTTTTATTTTTGGTTTAAATAGCGTCGCGTGTACTTACGGAATTTTCGTGACCGGTGGTGTCCCAGTTTATAGCGGAAATTCTCGAGAAGAATCTCGCCGCTTCCGCGTGTAACATCCCCGGGAACGATCACGTTCGTTATCAGATACATTATATCTACCTCTCTGTGCTCATTTATTTTCGGCTTTACATATACATATACGTATATACCGATATCCATTCGTTGATACCTTTACATGATATTGTTCGAATACTCGCGTGAAGAATTTTTTAGTGCTAAGGGTTAATATTATTTTTTTTTTCAAATATGATGAAAACTTGATGTAAATAATATTTCTACTTTTTAAGGATGAAATTTTTAATATCATTTTCTTTTTATGGATTCATTTCAACAAGTTATTTTATATAAAATTTTCTCGGTTATGTGATGTTTTAAAGAAAAATTAATTTTAAGGAAAAATTATTAGTTTTCAAAATTCCTTGGCACGATGAATATCACCCACATAAGAGTTTCAATTAAAAAAAAAATATACATAGCAGAGTGTCTAAATATAATAAGCGGATAGGGATGATTTGATATGAGTTGAGAAAAAAGAATAAAACTTTTTTGTTTTTGAGTAAATTAAATTTGAAAAATTTTCAAGTGTAAATTGATTAATATCCAATATGAGTAGAAAGTCATTTTTGAAAATTGAAAATAAATACACATACGTATATAGTAATCAAGTATTTCTAAATTCTAGAAATTTTTTAATTTCTTTGAAAATTTTAAATAAATTTTATTCTATATTTTTTATTTTTATATGGAATTACCTCTTATCAATAATTGTTACTCAAGAATTAACTAAATTTACATTTACTTGAAAAGTTTTCATATTTGATTTATTCGAAAACATAGTTTTCTAAATGAACAAAATTTTATTTTTCTCTTTCGATTCATTTTTGCACTTATTCTATCCACTTCTGAGATAGATGAATGAGACACCCTGTACATTATAAAGATTCAAACAAGATACTAGGTATATACGTGAGTGTATGTATCTTCTCTTTAAAAGAATGTTTCCGTACGGTTCATTTTCATGTAGTATGCTGAAATGCATGGCGATATATAGCTCGAGTTGTCGTAAGGTATCGCTTCGAATAAATTGAAAGTTTTTTCTTCGCTACCGATTTTCTTTCCGCTTATTTCTGCACTTCTCTCTCTCTCTCTCTCTCTCTCTCTCTCTCTCTCTCTCTCTCTCTCTATCACACGATATATATTCTTTCTTTCATCCTTTTTTGTGTCTCTGTAATTCCTTTTTATTTGATTCCTCTATTCATGAGACTATCTCCCTCCCTTCACCAGGAATCACGTATGCAGTTTAGAATATTCGAATCGTGAACACTTAATAGCGCGAATCCTCGAGAATTTTGATCGAAAATTTTTTCCTCGTGTTATTATATCTCGTTCATGTCCCCGAGCCATGAGGCGGAATTCATTTATACGTACGTTATATACATGGCTGGATGAGAAACAGGGGGAATTGCTAATGAACGCGCAAACTATTTAAAAACGGAGCTGAAAACACACGCTCAGATGTTTTGCGTTCGTCGAGGTTATCGTTAAATGTTTTATAACTGCTTTCATATGTTTCATTCTCGTGTTTAAATGGTTTTTATATCAACGTATTTTACAGGTTAGAACTGTTACTCTATACAGGGTGGTGAATGAAAACTAGGTTATTCCTCAACGCAACTTTTATTTAGGGAGATTGTCGCATCATTTTATTATTATTATTATTATTTATTATTATTTTTTTTTAATCTAGAAGTTTGGTGAAATATAATATAAAAAAAATATAATTTTTTTTTTCAAACATAAAATAAATATAAAAATATATTTAGAATAAGTTTACTAATTTAAGAAAAATTTAAAATTATTTATGTTTATATTTATATTTATAAAAGATGTTTTTTGCGATTTTATATAAAATATTATTTTTATTACAATTATATATATATTAAAAGGTTATATAATATTAGTTGTATTTTGTAACAATATATCAATGTTCCTATCTTTAATAAATACTATTTTTCCTTTTTGGTAATTACTCTAATCGATATATAGGATTATAATTTATATTCAGTCGGTAATAAAATGCATATGTATAATAAGTGATATATATTAAGGTGATATATATGATATATATTCAAACAAAACATAAGAAGAGAGATATAATTTGATGTTATTAATAGATAGATATGATTCTATTAAAAGGAAATGAAGTTAATTTTTATTTATTTTATATATGTCAATTTATAGAAAATTAATAATATTAAATTATGTATTCTTTTATTATATAATTTTTATTTAAAATTTTTTTCATAATAATTTATGATGTAATTTAAGTCGTTATATTTGGAAATGTTACAAATTTCTAAAAATTTTAAAGATATTTATTTATTATTTTATATTTTTTTTTTTTATATAGTTTAATCATTATATCAATACTTATTGAATATTTTTTTTTCAATTTAAGAATAATTTCATTCAATAAAATTAAACATTTCTATTTTCTCATAAAAATATCAATATTGTATATATGCTATTAATTTGTGCTCTAAATTTTATTACAAGAATTTTATTACAAGAAAATTACTAAGATCAAAAGTTGTATATTATCGAGAATTTTATTTTTCTTTTAGAATATTTTTTATTAATTTTAAAAACAATTTCTATATATCATTTTATTTTTTCTTTTATTTATATGAAAATTTTGATATATAACAATAATCATTTTTTATAAATAAACAAAAAATATAAAAAAATAAGAAATAAAATTTATATAAGATAATAAGAGATTATTAATAATTAATTTAATTGTAAAAGAATTAATTAGTTTAAATTATTATCTAATATAAAAAAATTTATAATATATATTTCTCATTTATTATATTTATATATATATAAATAATTATATATTATATAATTTATATATTATATTATATTATTATTAATTATATATATATTATATATATAGAAATAAATTAAATTTGAAAATTATTAGAAAATTAAATAAACAATTTTATCAATTTTAACAATTTTAATCAATTTGTTATCTTCTAACAATTATTATCTTTTAACAATTGTTATCTTCTTTGAAATTTTGAATTTCAAAGAATTTATATAGGAATTTCTCTCAATATTTAATATTTAATATTTGATATATGATAAAATTATTTATAACAATTAACTAATTAGATAAATTTTGTCATATATATAAGTATGTATATATTTTTTTAAAATTGATTCAATAAAAGATTAAAGAATTATAATGTTAAGTACATAATTTTTAATTCATTTATTTTTATTATTTATATAAGTAATTATTTACAAATTTTTTTATTTTATTTATAAATATTTAAATGTTTCATATTCATATAAATACAAAATATTAATTAATCAATCAATCATTTTTTTAATCTGAATCAATAATAATGTTTTAATGAAATTAACAATTTTTTATTTAAATAAAATTAACAGTTTTAATATTTACGAATAGAAAATAAAATTATTATAAAATTATATTATTATACAAGATCAAATATAAGATTAATTTTAATTTTTTTAAGACATTCATTATTATTATAATCATTTTATTATAAAAATATAAAAAAATAAATAGATCAAATTATTATCAGTAAAATTAGTAAAATTCTAAAAAAGAAAATTATAATTAAGAATATGTAAACTTTTAATAGATATATCAAAAATTTCACTAAGCTATGTATTATTATATATAATTCTAACAAATAGATCAAATTATAATACAAGTCTATATCAAATGAAGTAACAAAAATGTAGTAAGGAAAAAATATTGCACTATTTAACAAAATCTGTCATCTTGACATAATTTTTCTTCATAATTCTATATATCGATATATATACGATTATTAAAAAACTATCAAGAAAATTATCAAAATACTAATAAATATATAAATAGTGGTAGATTTTATTTTTATTTTTAATTTTATAAAAATATTTGTAATACTTACACATGCATAAAATCTATATTTACGTGAATATTTAATTTAATTTATTTATATTTATAATATTATAAATTTTCTTTAAATATATAATAATTTCTATAAATAATATATTTTCTATAATATTTCTATAATATATATAATTCTATAATAATGTATTTTAATTTTTGGAAATATAGAAATTGTTTTTTTAAAAAATTTTTTTCTGATAATATAAAATTATTAATTTAATTTATTATAAATTATATATATTTATAAATTAATTTTTAAAATTACTTATTTATTATATATAATAATATATATAAATAAAATATATAATAGATATAAATAAAATTAGTTTATTAATACATAAGAAAAATATACATAAGAAATAATAAGATGATATAACTTATTAAATATATTGAAAAATTTTTTTTATAAGATTTTTAACTTCATTTGAAATAGAGACATGTATTGTATGCTTATTTTAACTCAATTGTGCTAGAATCATTTTATACAAGATTTCAGTTTTTAATATTAAAAATATAATAAATATAACAATAATAAAAAATTAAATTTATTATTTTTCTTTTATTACTTTAATTTATTTTAATTTATTCTATTTTAATTTTATTTTATTTTTAAAAAATCAATAATCAATTTTTCGTATCACTTTATCATCCATGTTAATTTTTATTTGATATTTTTTTTATCTTTAAATTTTCTATAGATAAAATTATAATAGAAATTCTAATTTTATATAAAATGAAATTCTCTTCTTTAATGAAATTATAAATTATTATTATAACTTTGTTATTTTGTTATAACTTTTAACTAAGTTTTATTTTTTGTTATTTTGTTATAACTTTTAATTACTTTTTTTAATTAAAAAATTTTTTAATTATTAATTGTATCAATATTTATCTTATTTAATTATTAATTATTAAGTAATCAATATTTATATAAATTTTTTTTATTTATGTTTCTAGAAGGATAATAAATGCTTTGTAGATCATGTATTTTGACTAATAAATAGATTATCATTTATATTAATATATATTTAAAATTATGTATATTAAAATAACTGATAAATTTATATCAAAAAAAGAAAGAAGAATAAATTTATGATGGAAATCATTAAACTATATTGTATTCAAATTATTGTTATCAATATTTTTAACAATATTATTGTCAATATTACTGATCAATATTTTTGCGGGTTGTTTTATATATATGTATTATACAGAAAATAAAAAAAAAAAAGTAAGAAATATTAATTGAAAAGAAATTGGGTTTTTTATTTAAAAATTTTTATTTAAAATAATAATAATTCATATATCATGCAATTAATTTATTTTCATCAATATATTTTAAAATATAATTATAAATACAAAATACGATAATCAATCTTTATAATAATTAATTAATATCTCCCTTATTATTTATTAAAATCAAATTCGAGTTCTATTTAAATTTTTTTGAATAAATATTTATGAAAGATAATTATTTAAATCGATATTTTACAGTTGAAAAATTTTCATGGAGAATATTTATTCGTAATCTCTAAAATTATTCTATATATTTATTAAAATTGTATTATTAAAGTAATTATTATAAATTTATTTATATAATTAATAGTTAAAAATAAATTAAAAATTATTTTGATAATTTAATTTTATGACATTAGCTATTTATTCTACTTATATGTATATTGTTTGCACATATGTATATGTTTATACATATATAAAAATATAATGTAATGTAAATATGTTTATATAATAAGAATTTCAAATATAATAATAAAAGAATAAATTTTGAAAGGCTTATTCGATAATCCGATAAAATTAAATTTAATTTTCGAAATAGACCAAAAAGATTTAATGTATTTCTTTAATGTATAAAAAATATCATAAAATATAATTTTAAAATTAATGATGCTTTGTTTATTTCACTAAATGATAACTTTGATAATATTTTGAATACTAAAAAAATTGAATAAAAATATTAGTTTTATATAATTTTGATAATTGAATAAAAATAAATTCGATATAAATTAAAAATCAATAAAAATTAAAATTTCTAAAATTTTTCAGTTCACGATAAAATATAATGAAATATAAAATAAATATTTCAAATAAAAATTTTTTATTTGTAGAAAAATAGCTATAATATTTGTATCTTAATTATTTCTCTTTAAGATTGAAGGCTTAATTTAACGATTAAACTGATTAAAATTATTAATAGATAATTAGAAAGAAAAATAATTTTGGGTACTAATGAAATATATTTTCAATTATTTTCACTTATTTTAATTTTTTCTTTATTGATACTTTATTTTACTTAAAATAATTCTTAATTTATTGCTTTAAATTATTTATGATATATAAACTAAAATAAAATTTCAAATTTTTATTGAAATATTTAATTATTAATTTATAATTAAGAATATATTATAAAGATAAAAAAGATTTTTTTGGATTCTGATTTTATCAAGAGTTTTTGTTCTCTTTATGAATAATTAATTTTATTTCATGTTTCTGAAATATAACTTAATTTATTCATTGCTGCATTTATTCGAATTTCCATAATTTTAAAAGTTTCCATAAAATTTAATAGAATTTGTAATTAATGTTTAACAAAAATTTAAAGTTATTCAAAATTGAATATATTATATTATTTTTTATTTTTTATTAGATTATGTTCCTCTGAAAAGACAAAATCAAAAACAAAAATCAATAGAAACATTTATATATGTATTATAATATACTGTAAAATTAAGCACATGGACATGAAATATATATTATTCTTCTCTCACCACTCTGTATAAAGTATTTTTATCCATAAAATATTTTACAGAATTTTCATAGATATAAAAAGAATCGCAATAATTACATCGAGAGTGAGCATTATATGTATAGAATTAATTAACGAATTCCTTGATTTTCTTTTTAATAGTAGCAATTTTTACCATTTTTTCTGTACCATCTGTACAGAACTGGAAAGATAAAGATTGACGAAACAATCTTGATCAACGATTATTTTTTTTTATTTCTATTTTTTTGTTTCATAAAGAAACGAAAAAAAAAAAGAAAAACAAAAAGAAAGAATAGAAAAAAGTTAGAAATTAGACGTAAGTACATGATCTTAGGGGGCTATTGTTTCGCTGTTACAGGTTACTCTCGGACGAGTACTCGGTTCGATCACGCATTTAGTAAGCTCTAGTAGAGAACAATGTGCTATGCATATATCTATATACATATCTAAATCTATATAAATCACATAATATGCATAGACGTGCATTCATGTGTGCATATATATATATATATATATATATATATACATGCATACGTCACGTGCTTATGTATATTTATCTCTGTTGTTCTTGATCACGGTACGAGTGTACAAATGTATTTATAGTGTGTACCAAGCATAGAGCATGCTATCTTGTCTAGAGATGAATAAAATATTATTTCGAATTCCGTGGAGAAAAATAAAAAATAAAAAAGGAATAAATGTCGAACAAACATTTACAGTTGATGTGAATTAGGATATACTATTGTCCCTAAGTCATTGGATATTGTTAATAAATTTAAATGAAGGAGTGAACTTTATAATTATAATGCAGAATTTATACTTATTAAATTCTCTAATTATTAATCATAAAAAAAATTAAATTACATTTATTGTGAATTTGATATATATATGTATATAACAATTTTTTGTAGATGAATGTTAATATAATGTTGGTAAAAAATGACCCATATTAAATACAAATTTATCTAATTATTAATTTTTGTTTTTGATTTAATTACGAGAATTAATAATATGAATAATTATAATGAATAAACTCAAGATTAATAAAGATTTTTATTTTATATATATGAATAAATATATAATTTTTAGTAAATAGATATTTGTGTATAATATAATTGTAATATTGTATGTAATATTTTGTGTAAATATAATTATATTAATTCATGCAATTTTTAATACATAAATATTCGAATATTTAAATAAATAAATATTTTAATAAATGAATTTTTTGAATAATATTGGAAAAAATAAAAGATTTTTTGTATCAAAATAGAAAATTAAATATAATTAAATTTTATTAAAAGAAATTGCACTGATACATAAAATAAATTTGAATATTTATAAATTTATATTTTCATTTTTTAAATTATATTTAGTTAATATATATATATATATATATACAGAAATATAGATATTTACATAAATTAAAATAAGACCACAATTTAATACAATTCCTAATTCCATTCCACAATATCAGATAATACACTAGTAAATTTGTGTACTTTAAACTAATTAATTATTTGAAAAATACATATTTGCTAAATAAAAAAATTCCACACGTTATTCTTCAAACAATCTACACACCTCATCATCCTGAATAAATCCTGAATAAGTCGGTGGGTTCTCCCACTGGGCCTAATTTTCTTTCCTTGTTAATTTATATTTTCCCCTTCCCTTTTTCTCTTTAAAATCGCAATACTGTGAAGATCATGTTTCACGTTACTATAAATCTATTCCAATAAAAATTACATTTAAATTTAGCAAATATATCCGGTGACTTATGAACAGTGCTATATTTTATAATTGACGAATGAACACACGATTAATAATGAACGAGCGATCCGTAAAGAACAGAGTGGCATACATGCTATTTCGAAATGGTATTTTACATCGTCTCTACATCTCTAATCTGTCGTGTACTGTCGTTTTGTATACTCGTGTCATAACCCGACACTGCGGTCTCTAGCGATTCTGTATATATATGTCGTTTGCAACGTACACAGCTTGGAACGTATGAAACGAATGCGGTAAATGATTTGAAACTTTTATTTATGGAAATTATTATGTGTATATCTATACTTATTTATGTACATCTATTATATATCTATATATCTTTTCGCACAGTATCGAACTCGATCTATCATCGTGCATCAACGGCGTGTTTTTTTTTCAATTCTTCTTTTTCAATGCACGAAAAAAATCGATGTTCTCTCTCCTCTTGATCTCGATATTGGCATCGCCATAGCGCCTTTTAAGTCTTTCACTTATTTCTTCGATTTTAGACAGCACATACTTCGAAGACGATTATTTTAACATTCATTTTAAATTCTATGATTTTATGTGGATATCTGAATGGACATCTGATACGAGTTTCGATTTAATCTGATGTTTTGAAAATTTATATATATTTCATTATCTCATTTTAATCTATCTATCAAAATTAATCATTAAAATTATTTTCAAAAAAGTGAAAATAATATTTAGGGATGGAATAATCATTGCAAGGCCAAATCTTTCGAATATAGAATATACAGAATAATTTTATAATAATAAGTTAATAGTTACAAAGATAATTTTTGAATGACAATGAATCAATACATTGAATAACTTTCAAAGATCAACATAATTAGATCAATTAATTCATCTTAAAGTGAATTAAATAAAAATATATAGTTCCATTTAAAAAAATAAATTTTAAAAACTTAAAATTAAATAAATCTGATAGTTATAAGATTTTAAAATACAAGTTTTATATAAAATATTTTATTGAACAATGCAGAAAATAATTGCATAGAAAGATTAAAATAAAACATTCTTTATAAATATTCAAATCGATCAAATCCTCTATGATTTTTCTGTAAAACTGTAATTATAAATTTAATATATTAAATTAAATATAATTAAATTTAATATATATATATATATATATATATATACATATATATATTACTTATAATCATTGAAAGATTTTATTATACAATATTGAAACAACATTTTTTATAAAAAAATATTATATTATTTAAAAAAGCTTTAGAAGATATTTTAATTTAAATTTTGTAAAAATTATTGTATTATAAAAATAAAAAATACGCGAAATAATACTTTGTTTACAATATTACTTTGTTTGCAATAAAATTCTTTCCTTATCTTTCAAAATTTAAAAAAATTTTTTAAAAATTTATGTTAAAATTTCGACGTAAGAAGTTTAATATTTTTTTTTTTTTAAATAACAATTATGAATTACTGCATTAAAAATGTTATATAATTTTATTTGAAAATCAAACATTATATTATCTTTATATGATCTTTATGCAAAAATCTACGAAAAGATTAATTATACAGGAAAATATTCGAAATCATTCAGTTTTTATCTAAAACATTTTTTAATAGTATCAAAAACAAGAGAGATATTTTAGATAATAAAATTATGTGAATTATTCTGTGTATAATTTAATATAAAAAAAAGTTTCACAAAAGAAAAAGTTATTATGAAAGTTCAATTATAAAAGATCTAAAAATTGCCATAAGCGATTTATGGTTTTAAGGGTTAAAAAGAATAAACAATTATTTTCTCGATATAATTATTTTCTTTAAAATCAAATAATCAGTTCATATGTAATTAATTTGAAAAGTTTGCTAATGATGATTTCTTTCTTAAACATAAGGCCATTAAGGAATCTCTAGGATTATTTGATTCTAAAATCATTAGAGATCATCAGATTTCAAACTATTTTCTTGTATTTACTATCCATGAAATTGCTTTATCACGTTAATTGTTATTATTTTTTAACTTAATATCAAATAAATTAAAAATCTTAATTATTGATGATAATTAAAAATAATGATAAGCCAAATCAAAATATTAAAAATACTAAAAATAAATTTTTATGTAAAATCACAGTTCCAGGAATCATTAGTGTATAATTTAATATCAATTAAATGAAAATCTTAGTAATGATAATTAAAAAGATCAAATAGAAGTAAAAAATAAATTATTAAAATACATTAAAACGGTTTATAAAATGAGATATTAAAACATTTCAAAAAAATCTATCAGATGTCTTTAGGATGTTCTCAAGACATCTTTTCATGTTATTTGATACGTCTTAGTTTTTCTTTCTCTATTATTATATATATTTATCTATCCAGATTTCTTCCTTCTACCTCTCTCTCCTCACTCTTTGAATTTAATTAACATGTTCAAAACATATTTCTCTCTCTCTCTCTCTTTCTCTCTCTCTCTCTCTCTCTCTCTCCGTTCTATACACATTGTTATTACAATTGCCGAGGAGAAATCTCCATGATGTCGCTTCGATCACTCACCGAACTTGTTATTCATTCGGGAACATATCGCGGGCACAGTTTCTCTTTCTTTCTTTTTACTTCTCTTGGTGGACGTATTCCAAATCTCATTTATTTTCTCTCTTTGTTCCCATCGTCCTCTGTTCGCGATGGTCATTCAACTATCGTACAATAGCAAACGGTTCTTCCTCAGAGTAGGATGAAAGTTTATTTGAAAAAGATCCAGTTCTGTTCTGAACTTCCGCATCGATGCCGATTTCGATTATAATTTTTGCGGTCGTGGTCATTCTGGTAACCTTTCTTCCGATTATAATGATCATGCATGAAAAATCAATCTTTTTCAAATGCATCCTGAAGCTAATTAAACCCGAATCTACTATTAATCTTTTTTCTTCGACTTATACAGCATCTATTTTGAATCGTTTATCTTCTACAACTGCGTGTTACATAGTACTTTCGGCTTCTCATCGCGTCATCAACCGAGCCGGAGTGCAACTAACGCACATACAATGTGTGGCGCTACGTACAGCATGTTTCTTCAGGTCTTGTTCGATGCGTAGTCAGGCGTGAAATCTAACCGATTATACAGTCGCTCGCAAAAGTATTTGAACGCTATTCGAAGGGGAATTTACGTAATGTGAAAATTCTAATTTTAAAGTTTGTGTTTATATGAAGTATAATGGATTATACATAGTTTCCTTTTTCGACGGAAAATCTTATTGGGAATGAAATTATTAAGATTTCAGCATTTTTTTATGTTTCGAATATAATTTGTTCTGGAAATATATTTTTATAATAGAGTAAATGTGTAAATATTTGTAAATTATTGAAATCAAAATATTTTATATATTTGAAGTTTTTATTTATTTTATTACAAGATTATGTTTAAAAGAAGAAAAAAAAAATAAATTTATTTAAATATATTTAAAAATCCATTTTATTCTTTCACAGCGATACTCTATTAAAATACATATAAATAATCATGAAATAATGAGTCGATTTGAAAAATCAAACATAGAAATTGATATATAAAAATATTGATTATTTATTAAGTTATAAACAACTTAAGTTCGTATTGAGAAACGAGACGGTGAT